AAAGCCTTGCTGAAGTCCAGGGAGACAACATCCACTGCTCTGCCCTCATCTACCCAGCCAGGCGTTCCATCAGAGAAGGCTCTCAGATTGGTCAAGCATGAATCCCCTTGGGTGAATCCTTGCTGACTATTCCGGATCACCTTCTGGTCCTCCATTTGCTTAGAGATGACCTCCAGGAGGAGCTGTTCCATCACCTTTCCAGGGATGGAGGTGAGGCTGACAGACTTGTAGTTTCCAGGCTCCTCCTTCTTGCCCTTTTGGAAGACTGGCGTGACATTGGCTTTCTTCCAGTCCTCAGGCACCTCTCCTGTTCTCCAGGACCTTTCCAAGAGGATGGAGAGTGGCCTAGCGATAACATCCGCCAGCTCCCTCGGCACTCGTGGGTGCATCCCATCGGGGCCCATGGATTTATGGATGTCAAGTTTGGACAAAAGATCTCTAACCTGATCCTCCTCCACCAAGGGAGAGTCTTCCTTTCTCCAGACTTTCTCCCTGGTCTCCAGGGTCTGGAATGCCTGAGGACTGGCCTTAGCAGTGAAGACTGAAGCAAAGGCAGCATTCAGCAACTCTGCCTTCTCCGTATCCTTTGTCACCAGGGCACCCGCCCCATTCAGCAGCGGGCCCACGTTTTCCCTAGTCTTCCTTTTGCTCTTGATGTATTTGAAGAGCCCCTTCTTGTTGTCCTTGACATCCCTTGCCAGATTTAATTCCAACTGGGCCTTAGCCTTCCTTGTCGCATCCCTGCACACTCTGACAACGTCCCTGTATTCCTCCCAAGTGGCCTGTCCCCCTTTCCACGTTCTGTGCACTTCCTTCTTCTGTTGGAGTTTTGCCAGGAGTTCCTTGCTCATCCATGCAGGTCTCCTGCCTGCTTTGCTGGACTTCTTCCTCAGAGGGATGCACTGATCTTGAGCTTGGAGGAAGCGATACTTGAATATTAAGCAGCTCTCCTGGATCCCCCTCCTTCCATGAGATTCCCCTAAGTAGGTCCCTGAAGAGGCCAAAGTTTGCTCTCCAAATTCCTGGGTCTTGATTTGGCCCATTCTGTTTAATGATGAGAAGCCATATGTGGAATTCTGCTTTGCTATCTCAAGTTCTTCCCAAAACTTTATTTAAAGAATAAAGTTTGCCATAGAGTGCTCTCTTAGCTGCTGTCCTGTATATGCCCTTGTCGTTAATGCTGTTGTGGCTGTCGGCTTCTGATCTCTGCTATTTTCTTGCCCCTCTTTCTGTCCATCTGCATGCAGTCAGGGTAGAAGGCAGCTGAGGTAGAGAAGAGCTACTTCTGAGTAGCCACGGAGGCTAATGAAGGGACAGTGGTTTATCAAGAGCTGCTCGTCTCAGTCACAGCTACTTGCGTCAGTGAGCTAGAAGAACACTGTTTGGGATTTCCAGAAATAGCACACCACGCTTGTCCTGAGCTGCAAAACAGTGTAGTAATTTGGAAGCTGGTATTATGGAAGGTCTGCAGCAGAGCTAATGAGTGACCTGACCCCTTTCTGAAAGGGACCATCAGCCAGCTTCTGCCAAGGGCTGGGAAAACAGCACTTCTGAGCAGCACTCGAAGCTGTGAAGAGTGCCGTGCTCCCTCGTTAGGAGGCTTAGGAGGCTTCTTCCCATTTTTTGCAATTAAAAGGAGTTCTGCGTTGTGCTGCTCATATGCACCGTGGTGCTTTGCAAGCTGCCCCAGTGTGACGGCAAATGGGGGTGCCTCTGGTGTTATTTAAACAGACAGCATGCATACTGAGGAGATGTTCTCTCCCTGCAAAGGTTTTCATCAATTGATGATCACAGCCCAAAAGAGCTATGGTATCTCAGCTCTTCCAAAGTCAGGAGAATTGGGTTTCTCGCAGGGTTTGGGCCCTTAAGCAGAACTACAGCTC